CTTTTCTGTGATCCTATTAAAAGTATTATTTATAAGGCCAACAGTAAAACGCTTGCTTTTCTCTATACTTGTTACTCACATTACCCCCACTCAGGTCAGTCATGAAAAAGTATCTTTAGCAACTGTGGTGTGAGATAGGCATTGTACTGGGGAGTCAAACAAAGCAATCAGTTTTTATTCACAGATAACACAATGGCAGTGCGTTTTGTGGCCTGTAACTACATCTGCACTGCTCACTGAACCATCCAAATTTACACTCAGCTAAAGAAAAGGACATTTGGCCAAAAATCAGATACATTTTTAATTGGTATCCTAATGCGCATATTCAAATACTAATCCTTGGTAGAAATGCGGATCTGAAGCAGTATTGTGAATGCTGTTATACAACTTGGTAGCCTTATATGGGTTTCATGGGATTTTTTTCACACATAAAGTCACAAACCAGAAGCCTCAGCTTTAGAGAGACATATGTGATGTTACAATGTTCACTGAGAACACCCGAGTACCTGTGATGACTGAATGGCTCCTAAATGTCAAACTCAGTTCTGCTCTGCCTTGGCCAGCCCCACCTCAAAACACTAAGGAAACTGAAAGGAAGACACCAGTGTTTTCACAGCTTTTACAAATTTATCATATATATCCACTGCTATATCTAGGAACGTTATAGAGATGTAGTGAACAAAAACCAAAAACAAAACCAACAAAAACCAACCAAACAAAAACCCCAAAACATGAACCAGAAAAGCACCACCACCACCTCAAAAAAAAACCACAGCAAAACAAAACACTGAGAAAAAGGTAAGAGGAGCGTGTTAATGGCTAATAGCACAAACCACCTTTTCTTCTGGCTTTATTCATCGCCAGATGGTGTGACAAGACAACAAGACACGTGGATAAAGAAGTAAAAAAAGAAGAAGCCTCATGGTGTTACAAACCAAATCAAACCAAACTACACCAAACCAATCTCTGCCTGCTGATCATGGGCTACACCAATTTTGGAAGAGAATTAATTCCAAATACAGTCTATAACTCATGTTAGCAACATAGACCAGAGGCAACTTTTGTTATCAGAAAGATTTAAAATGGGGTTTCAGCCACAAGACCTGGCTGCTTTGACCTTAGTTCCCCTCAGGCCAAGTTACTAAACCCCTGACAAGAAAAAGATACTAGAGCAGAGCATGACCTTATTTAGCTGAGGTAGCATTTGTTTTTTTTTTTTACAGCCTTCATTACTGTAATATCATACATAGGGTTTTTCATTTGTTTGCCACGCAATTTATTCCCCTAAGATTAGTCCTTTTATAGTCAAGCAGTTTAAAGTTAATCACAGTTGTTATTTTAATCTGTGCTCACCATTAAGAATTCTTGCAGAGCTATTTTGCTTGTTAGCAATTATGGTCTCCCAATGGAAGTTCATGATTACAGCAAAAACAACCTGTTTAATACTTGGCACCTCTTTAGTATACAAGGATTAAACCCAGGAGCATAGAAGTATGCTAATGCTGGTGATGAAAGTATAGCAAATCTATTTAACAAACTCTGGTTTTAAAATACAGCATTGGAGAAATGCCACACGGTCCTCATGCACATTTGTGGTCCTCCCCCTCTGTGCTTTTCATTCTTGTAACAAGGTAATAAGGTGCTGCTGATCATCCATTTACTATATGATGGTTGTGTCTGAAATGCATATATCCTCATGCTTTCACCAAACAGACCAAAGGTTTGGTCCTGCTTCCAGCAGTGCTAATAATAAAATTCCCTTGAAAGATCTAAGAACAGGGCCTGACCTTTGCATAGTTAGGTAAGCATCCTACACTGAAATATGAATTCTTTCGTCTATTAAGGGAACCAGTAATTGCTCTCAGTGATCTATGTGTCAGGACTTAAAAATTACAATCTGCTGTCAAGGTCAATTAGCAAAGACTGCAGGGGCAAATATCTGCTTCTCGTGTTGATTGTCCATTTGATTCTGCAATAAGAATTATACACAGTAATCCACATTAGCTGAAGTGGACAGATCATTAAATGACTTTGTCGGAAACAACACTGCAGGGGATCGCCCCAACCAATTCTGTCCTATTTAAAGTTATTTCCAGACAAGGCAGGGCAGAGAGATCTAAAATAACCCAGTGTTCTGGTTCAAGCTGATACACTGAATGAACAATCACTATTGTGCATCATCGCCGGTGATAAATATTGGCGATTTACATTGACGAGGGTCAAGTTTGTCTCACATTGGGTAAACTTATTTTGTTCAAACTTGAGAAATGGGGGAGCCACTGACAAGTCAAATATGCTACCATTTTCATCATTCTTCATGTGAAAATAATTATTGCAGAGAAGTGTTCAACATAAGAAAATCTGTGTTTAAAAAAGTCTGCAACTCCACATACTAGTGAGGTACCTTCACTTGTTGTAAAGGTTTTAAAGAACAAAACAACTGAAGCTGGGCTAGAGGTCTATTTTAGTAGAAAGCTATAAAATGTGACCTAACCATAGCCAGTTCTCTTGGGACAGCAATTACAGCAATAAATGTTCCACAGCAGATGCTAATGCCATGTATAAACAGTCCTCCTCTAAAATGAAAAGAAATTTTTGTCCCCACATGTCTTTTAGGGTCCCATTGTACATGTGAAAATGTAAAGGAAATGTAAAATTGATATGCACGCCATGACATCGGCTTTAGTCTCCTTTGCCTTAGCCAGGCTGCTATAAATCTGTCCTAGCTTTAAGTAATGGTGAAGGAGCTAAATGGTCAGAATTTGTGTCTGTCTTTTTTTATTAGCTCACCTAGAGTAAAGTAGGGGTTATCGGTCAATGTCAGGTTCAGCGCCCAGTGACCCAGTGGGTTAAAATCATGATAGTCACAAATCAAGAGCATAATGAAGTCTGAGAAGAGGTCTATGCTGATTTATTAGGACATCTGTCTGGCTATAGACATCCTAGTACAACCCCTGTGTAGTGCGAGCTATTAGCATAATCCCCATCATGAAACATCTTTGAGATTTAAAAGAGAAAAATAAAGTGTTCAAAGAAGACTGGTGAAACCAGAAGGGTTTATCTTGCACTGCTCATTGTTTTTCTTATCTTGATACTCCATAAAAATAGTATTAAATATAAGTTAATACTAAAACTAAATTAGTCTTCAGTTTTCCAAAACCACTGAATTTTCAGAACACATCTGAATGTCTGTTCATAATGAAATAAACTCACGACCCCTGCTACTTTTCAATGACTTTTCCGTATTTTAATTTTTTATTGTTCATTTATATTTAACCATGGCGGTGTCATCCACATGTAATGTTATCACCTTTATTCTTTCAAAAATCATTTCCTGAATTCTGTAATCTTATATGCAAACTTCAGTTTCTTGTGCCAATTATCCTAGTACCATTAAAAGAAAGCAGGGATTAAACACAAACTTTCTGAATTTTGCCTATAAATAAGACTGAATTTTGCCTATAAATGCCGTATGCTGTAAATGCTGTAATATTACTTTATATCCTATAGGTCAACAAGTTTCTGAGCTGGATACCAATTAATACTGTCATGTGCAAAACTACATTTTTTTGTACATAAGAGGTATTCAACTGAAAAATCAGACAGATCATTATTTCTTCTTTGATTGGAACTAAGGTGAAATAGATTTCAATCTATGAAGATTAAATTATTCCCTGAAGATTACTTTACATTTGACTCTATATTAATAAAGATTGTCACTGCTCATGTGCCTTCATAAAAAAAAATACAGTTAAATATATGCATTTAGAAAAAATATATGGCTTCAATGAGTTTCAGCACTGGTATTAGTCCATTTCCATTATATTATATGGTATCTCAGGTAGGAATTTAGCTGGTAACTATAAAATTATGAGATAGTGATAGTTAATAGCGACTGAATACTTTGAAAATGCCAAGTACAAGCAAGTACTGCAAAGTGCTGTCATGCAGATCTTTTTAGACCAGCTGTGGTAATAATAATTGTATACAAGTGGAAAGTCTGGAAGAGTTAATGTAGAAATTATCAAGAGATAATTAATTCATTACGGGTGTGACACTTCTGAGCCTCCTAAAGATTAGGTAATTTCATCACTACCTTTACCGTTTCATATTAGAACAGCCCTAACAAAACAGCTAGAGAACAGTACTGCTGAAATACAAGAAAAAAGAATCTATAGGTTTAGAAATTTTTGCCATCACAGTTGAGTGATGATTGATAAATTTTGGAAATTTCTGGCAAAATCACTTAAGCACAATATGCAATAAACTTGTTATTGTGAAGAGGAAAACTTTGGAATGAAGTGAGCACCTTTGTGCGAGAGCTGACCACCTCCCCCTGTGAGTAGATGATATTTACTAGACCAGACAAATGCATGGAGTTTTGCAAGGTCCTACAGCAGTCTTACTGTTTGAGGAGCTCTTCAGAAGTGCTCGTGCAGTTACCACATTTGCTGTACAGCAAAGCAGAAAAGCCCAGGAGGTGCACAGCAGCATGTGGAAATCACTGCTTTGCTTAAACCAGAGCTAAGACTGGGCAGCCTGCACTGACCAACAAAACCAAAGGAGAAACAGAAAATCTGGATCATCAAAAATACTACAAAATTTTAAAAACATGTTTATTTCAGTCTCAAAACTCTTAATTTCTCAGGCTGCTATGCTGGTTTTTTGGCTAATTTGTGTGCCATTTGGTGAAAACACATTCAAGAATATAAGACCATTTCTTAAATTGAGTCCAGTTAAAAGAATCTGAAGTAGTTAGCGTCCACTGCTTAGCAAATTCAACATGAGGAAACCTGTGCATGTAACTGCCTGATTAGCAAAGGCAAGATTCAACTTGCGTGTGAAGCCCTACTTATTCCACTTACGTAAGGTTTTCTAGTCCTCAAAGAATTAAACAGTGGAGAAACTGAATACGCAATCATTTATTTGAACTCCAGAATGAAAAGTATGGATTGCAGTGTGTTTTCCAAAATAGCAACATAAAAACGTGTGCACAGTACTTGCCTCCATAAATTCCAACGTTGTTCTTCCAGCTGGGTCACTAAATGCTCAATGTACTTGTTTGAGTCCATATATTCCTAAATAAAAGATGATAAAAAAGTTAGTTTTTCAATTTTCAAAGCATTTGTAAAATTTTGAGTGAAAGAGTCAGTTTATGGAGTGCACTTTCATTTTGCACCCAAGGTTATCCTATGTACACAGAAATCATCACAGTGATGTAAAATTTTAGATCAAAACTAAATTTGGATGCCTACCAAGTGAACAGGGCAGCAGCCCAATACACTTCTTAAAGATTATTTGTGGGGAAGACAAAAGTTGGTGAGCCTATGCAAGCAGCACAAATAAATTAGAGAAAAATAAATGCATGCCCATATTCTAAGCCCAGAATTGTGTTCCCTGAATCCAGACTGAAAAATAACTTCTCAACAGTGCAGTCACTCTTCTGGTGCACATTTCGTTTATTTTAGGTATAAATCAAAGTGAAAGGAATATTTGACTTAAATATTATAGCCTGTACCCTATTTGAAAATGAAACTACAACTCAGCTCCTGTATCATTTCCAGTTCAGCTTTTGCAGATGCCATAACCTGCAGTATCATCTATACACATTTGATTCTGGACAGAATTTCTGATAAATAATCATTTGCAGATGAACAATTTGGATTTTTTGCTTACTGAAGACTGTCCTTTAAATTCAGTGCAAAGAGATGTTTCTTCTCAGCAGAGGAATATATTGGCAATAGAAATGCACCACTTCACTTCCAGGGGGATGGCAACTTCAGTGTTATTTATATAAAATATTTCAGAATATACCTACACAATAACATGCAATATAATACATTTGTATGACTGCAGTACCAACACTTTACTATTATTCTATACCAGCCACATTACTATTATTCTGAAAGCCTATCAGTAAGAATAAAACTCTCTTGAAATACCTCACCAAAACAAAAATATGTTTCAAACCTCATACTTCAGAAAATAACAAGTATTGGAGTAATATATGGAAAAGAATCTATATCTTCACTTTCTGGAGACAAAAGCTCCATTTTTATAGCTCCACTGTTTTACCTGTGGACTAATCACATTGGTTCTTCATTGCATTAGGAATTGTTTCTTCTCTCTTATTACTAATTTGGTGTACGAATAAAGATTTTCATTGCAAAGTAGTTGGTTCTTCTGAGCTATTTATCTTCATGGCCAGGAACATGAGATAGCTACAACAGGGACAGCATGTCATCATGTCTTCTCAAGGTGAGGATGAATGTTAGCTGATTTTAATGATCATAATGTATGTATAAATGTACTTTTTTATTTTTCAGGACTGGAATTATTCTAAGTGGTTCTATCTTTTTGCTCACAGTAATTATTTTCTTGTTCTGCTTTAGAGAGAGAGTGGTTCCTTAGAGGCTGTTGTGACACAAGGAAATGGTCCCTGGCACAGATGGAGAGGAAGAGTGAGATGTTGCTCCCGAGGAGACTGTGCAAATGCACCTCAGCCATGCCCTGTTCAAACTGCATTGCTTGGAAAACTTTGGGGATTGTGAAACTGTTGCCCCAAGCTTAAATTGAAATCCAACTGCTGTAGGTAGATGTGTCTTGCGGATGTTACTTTCAGAAAACATTAAATAATGCAAATCCTGAGAAATGCCATGAACTTCAGTGGCATTAATATAGCTGTTTTACCAGTGCTGTTTAGATTAAACCCTCCTACTCTCCTTGCTACTCAACTGAGTTGAATTTCACTTGGCATACAGTACGTCAATTAAGCGGCAAGCTGCTTCTAAGGCAATGCAAGTGAAGTATTCTGTATTACACAGATATTGCAGTATAAAAAAAATAAACTTTACAAATGCATATCAATGATTACTTGCAGTACCGAGTTCTTTAAAACAAGCTGCCTTTTTAACTTGCTGGTTTTTACTACAATGAACCTGGTATAAATTAGTATTAATACCTTTACATCTTTTTAATGTAATATTAAACAATATTCCTGATTTATTCATCAGTGCACTTTGCCCTAAGGGCAAGGATAGGATCAGCAGTTTTATTCTGCATAATTCTACCATGATAATATAAAGAAAACTCACTCTGAAGCAATTCTCTCAAAAATATTGTCTAGAAATAAAGACAGTGGGGAAAAAAAAGCAATGTGTTAATCCTGTACGACCGCTGCCTTAATTTTAGGTTTTCCCTGTGGCGAATCAGAAATATTACTATATTTCTCTTGAAGACCTGCAGTTCTGTATGTAATCTGTCAGTGTGCCAAAGTGACCTGAAAAAATCAACCATGATTTGATAGAAACATGATTAGAAGTACCTCCTTCCTTCTGTGCTGCTGTGGCACATTCACATGCCAGCCAATGTCCGAAGCAAGCCATCTGCTTCAGATAAGGTCTCTGTTCCCAAGCCCAGGTTTCTGCTCTCGTCTATTACCCGCTATCACAATAAGACAAATTCCCCAAACCCTGGATCAGAAGCCAGTAATATTTTGTCAACATGAAGGAAATAGCAGTCATTTGAGACTTAGAGCAACTCTGTGATTTTGAATAATATAGCACATTCAGTGAAAGCAGAAAATGTGAGAAAAAACCTCACAGTAATCACACTTATTTATGGCTGGACTCAATAATCTTGAAGGTCTTTTCCAACTTAAATGATTCTATGACTTTATATTCACAAAGACTGAATATACAATTCAGTAAAGTACCGACATTTATCAGTACCCAATAGATCACATCGAAAGGAGTAATAGAAACATTTTGCAGCTTCCTTGGAACTCTGTCATACGACTGCTTGCACCATGTAGGCTTTGAGTAGCATGAGTAACTGTTTAGACTGACAAATTACACAGAGCGTCATTTTACAGTGCAAATGTATGACTTCAGGAGTTTGTATTATTGGAAGGAGGATCCAAGTGACTCACACATATGTCAGAAAAAAATGATGAAAATAGAAACAAGGTCCAATAACTGAATAAGGATAAGAATCATTTAGGTAGACAAGACTGATACTTATACTAGATACTAGTAAGATCAATCAGACAGGGGAGAAAGCACAGTAGTCCCCGGGTTTCCAAAGTGGCTTACAATTCTTCCTGTTCCCACTAGCAGAAGGCTAAACACTGACCCCCTGCAAAGCAGGAGGGGCTAAGGCTGCGTAAGGCCAAGTCAGCACTTCCCAAATTATGCCACATTTTTTATCTGAAGTTGCAGGCTCCAAATTAGTGCATTTTTATAAAGCTGATGATATTCTATAGCAGCTCTGCTGGTTGTGGAATTGCCATCCATGCTGTTATTCGCTATTGGAGTAGACCTCAGCAGCCTGAGCTGCACTGGCTCTGCTTCAAGTCCCACTCCAGCCTCCAGCAATTCCTCTCAACTTGCAGGAGTACTGAGGAGTCCATGATTAAAACAAAAAAAGAGGAAGCATTTTTTAATCCTTTTCAGAATAATGGGTGAAACCTGTCTGCTTTCTTCTCAATCAGTTAGTTTCCAGCCAGGAAGATTTCACTCCTCCACCTATGCTCCTGTGATGGCAGATAACTGCGTTGGTTTAAAGAAGAAAACCTTATGTAATATGTGTAAACGCATTAAAAGAGATTTCTAACAGCTGCGTTGATTCTGGCATCCAGGAGGAGTTGGTATGCAAATGTCACATGCCAGCTCATCTAATTTAGAGAGCATTAGAGAATTGCTTTACCAAAATAGTCACTAGTTTGGGCACAAACTACAAATATACCGAAGTATGTTTTCTGACAGAACTAAGTATCTAGCTTTGCAATGCTTGTTTTGCCGCTTTGTATCTTTCTTTTCTTTGTTAGCTGGACAGCTGTCAAATAAAGAAAAAATGGGGGAAGGGAAAGGAAATGAAGTGCCTCCACTGAGGCCTGGGATCCACTGCTCGGTATTTTGGTTGGTTACGTGGGTATTTGTTCTGGCATATCCATGTTATTATCCTGGGCAGGGTATCAAAAATTATAGAGCACACAGAACATTTTCCCATCCATTGTTACAGAGCAAACCCTTAGGGCAACCTTAGGCTTATAGCACAGGAGTCCCTTGCTGGAAGCTGAAGGTGATAAATTTAAGCTAAAAAATAGCACATAGTCTCTGCCTCTCTTAAGGAACTTGCACAGCTTGGTATCAAAGAGAGTTTAATGAGCTTAGCGATATGTGGAAAGGATTAAGGGTACAGTCGCTGATCCAGCAAATCACTTGATTGCGTACTTAATTCAATAGGGCTTCTCATGCGCTAAAAGTTAAGCGTGTGCTTCTGCGCTTCTACCGGGCAGTGGGCACTCGGAGGTGGTGGCGTTGTGGTGGGATCGGGCTGTCCTGCAACAGTGATGCCCCAAGTCTCCTGAACCCACCTTCCTCAACCAGGCATGCAGGGACATGGCAGCTGCCATGCCTGCCACAGCAAGTTCCCAGCACAGAGCCTGCCTGCACAGTGGAAATGTCCCAGTTGTATAGAAATCAGAGAAACTGGGATAGAGACAAGGCCAGCACTCATCTTCCTACAGACCAGCTGTGAGGTAAAAGTCATATTCAGCCCTGCAGAGACCAAAGCCTCCCATTGTCCCTGTGGCACATCTAACTCCCTTCGTGGTTCAGTTGCGACAGACACTCATCAGACAGCCCTAACACAGTCCTCTGCAACACTACTCCTTGACTCCACTGATATTTGTATTTGAAACTAGACAGGAAAGATTAGCATGGATTTAGGCTCTTGGGCTTCACAGAGGAGGATGTTTGTCACTGCGGAGAAAAACACTGAATGAACAAGCTGATAAATGCACAGACAAGTTCGCACGAGTATCTCAAGCCATCCAGCCCTGGAGACAGGGAACTGCATAGAGAGCACACAATCAACTGAACAATGCAGAAAGTTGTATTTTCACAGGGAAAGGTTACTAGAAATCAAACAACAACAAAGTTGTCTGCAGCCAAACAGCAGACTGTTGCAGTTGGGAAATGCTGTTGGCAAAGCAACGAGGGGGACATTGAGGCTGTTACACTAAGTGTGGAGATACAAGTCATCTTTGAAGGATCTTGGAGAAGTGCCCTAGGGG